ATGCACGCCAAAGTGGCCTTATAAGGGACATGCAGGTAACTGTGCATACTCGCAGCTATGAACATGTGTACATATGCATATGTATTTGTATACATATGTGTGAATGCAGTTGTCAGAAGACGTCAAAACCAAATTAGCCATTATTTTTAGCGCGCTACTCAAATTAATTACACGGCGCCGGTCTCAACTTTGAAACGAATTTTACCCTCCACGGCGCGTCGCCCAGTGGCAGGACACAGAGCATGACATAGTCAAAACGACGAACTGCGCAAAGCCGGTTGAATGGTGTTGAAAGCGACGGACGGAGGTTATCTGGTGCTTAGCCACAGAGGGAATTAGTTGATCGGCCAAATCCAAAAGTGATGCAACGCAGGCAGCAGCAACGCCATCAAAAAATGAGCCGACATCATAATTTAACACTCCTCGAATGACTGAATGGATGAATGAATTGCTGAGGTGTGCGGTCCTTTTCTTGGAGTTCATGTGCATGTACATATTTACGGGTATTTATCCTTCCTTCTTGCTGTATACACACAAACATATATACATATACATCTATAATATATTGTATGTGTTGTTGCAAGATTTTAACTTGTTTGCCAATTCGGTTACCAACACAAGCGAACAAACATTTAAATGTTCACGTTTTTCCTTTACATATAATCAAATATAAATATGCGATTTGTCTCAATTATCATTTTGTTTCCATTTCAATTTGAATACAAATTTCCCTTTCAAATTTATAAATGCTTGATATCTTCTAAATAGATTTACCTCTCTCTGGCTGTGAGTGTGTGTGTGTGTGAATGTGTGTGAGTGTGTATGTGTATATGCATCAAGCCTTCAAAAAATGATTGGCTTATTTCTAGAAAACTGTGCTCGAAATATGTATAATAATAATAAAAAGCGGAAATGCTAATAACAGGTTTTGGGGCAAAAACATCATAACGCTTGATCGCAGTCAATTCATTCGTACATACTCGTACATTCATACAAAACATATATACATACATACAAATATACAAATATACTTAAGTACTCACTATTCGTTGGACTCAAAAGGTCTGCTCGATTTTATTTAATAGCCATCCGGTGCTTACTCGGCCTTTGCATATGAACCGTAAGACGACGTCGACAACGACGACGACGACGACGACGACTTGACCCATTCAACTCTTTTTACCATTTCTTATTTTGGCGCTATTATTTATGAAGATAATTTGTCGTGTACGCACGTTTTCGTTCCAACTACATGCACGCACACACACAAACAGCTGTTGCTGGCCTCGTTCTGACCGTTCCCAGTTAGCACATCGCAATGGCTTCAAATTCAATGTGCACTTCTTTCTCTGAGACGAGGCATCCCGACAAGAGATCGCCAGTAGGTTACGAACCGAAAGTAGCGATTCGAGGATCTGATTTCACGACGTGGAGGATTATTGAGGTTGTTAGTTTTCGTGTCGGTGGAGACTTTCGATTGACACAACCCCAAAGGTTTTACAAATCGCTTTAATTGCAATATATGTATACAAAAAGTTGTGTTGCCTTCGTTTCTCTAACAAACAATAATTTCCTGAAAAATCTCTTCGAAAAAACTGATTTACTCAGGCTGGCAAAAAATTTGAAACAAACTCGAGTGTTTAGTGTTCATTGGGTTGCGTAGCAAAACTCAATGAATTTAGCGTGTACTGTAGGTGTGTATTTGAGATTTACCGAGAATCATTTTAAATTTTCAATTCCCAATCCTCAATATCCTTACATTCTTATTGATGCTTGAAAATTAGTTCAGTCTAAACATTTCGAAATTGCTGTTGAGCAGCATTCAAATTAAATGTGGCCAATAATAAGTCTTCTACATGTTCGAAAATTGCCCCGTTATGATTGATTCATGTATAGGCCGTAGCCTGATAAGTTCGAAAAAGCTTTCTCCGAAACTTACTTTGCAGTATTTTTTAAGTTACGCGTTATATAATTAAACAAATATATTCATATCCAATGACATTTCGTATTGAGAATCTTTTGTTTCTTCATTGGACTTATACTCCAAATGTTAAGCAGTTCGAACCACAAATACAAGTTTCCTTCTTTTGTTCCCCATCCCGAAAGGAAAATTTCTTCATATAATAACCATGAAAAGAAGATATTGTATCATATTGTATCATAACGGAATTTGCAAAGCCAATTTTGACACTGTCTTCCTTTTAAGACTTCATCACCATACACATCTCGTAACTTTTTAGCAACCTGCTCCGCGTTTTTTCCTTTACGGAAATAATAAAGTAAAATATGACGAAAATGCTCCTTTGTGGACGCCAAACAAACAAATGTAAACAAAATTTCGCGCACTTTTTTCTAAAGCAAGCTAAAAGTAACAGCTGATAACTGACAGAAGAAAGAATGTAATTACAGAGTCACAAGCCGTTGAAAAAATTTATCAACGCCGACTATATGAAAAATCCGCAATTACTTTTTAGGCAACCCAATATATACATAATTGGTCGGAAACGACTTCTTTTAAGTGCTCTCTGTACTCGATCCAATTATCAAGCCATTCTAGATGTTTCCAAAAATAGCCAGAAAGGAACAACGGTTGGAGAATATAGCGGTTGGGGTAAGACCTGCCAATTCATCGTTCCAAGGTAGTTTTTGACCGTTGCAGTGTTGTCATGATGCTAAATCACCCTACTATGCCTTTCGGTCGATACTGGCCGATTTTCATGCAACACAGTTGGAATCAATAACGTTCCGAATCAATAGTCTAAGCCACTTTCTATACGATTTATTGGTCGGCGCATAATCACCATAAACTTCCTCGAGTACTTGATGGACTTCAGTTGCCCTTCTTTTTCAATTAAATTAAAATATCGAACCTCACTGCAAACGCAGTTTATTTAACACAAATTCGGACATTTTCGAAAGGAATAGGCAATCGCCTGAAAGATCGCCAAGTGAAATTCTCTTAATTGCCAATTAAATATTGTCTGAACAAAGCGGAATTCGATTTCCACAACACCTATTGGATATTACTTATTTTACATATGCACACATATAATGTATGTATGTATGTATGATACCAACTCGATTTATTTGCCAAGTTCATTCTTTTATGATAAATTCATAAAAATACTAGCCTAGTCTCATATACCGTTGTATTCATAAACATACATTACTTTCTTACACTAATTCAAACCTTTACATACAGATGTGGTTGGTATCCACCAGACCGGACATCACACTAAATAGACTGTTGCTTAATTAACGTCTTTGAATGCTTTAATGTGTATCACCACCGCCGGCACCGACTAACTTGCCGCTACAACAACAACTAGCTCGCCTTCTACTCTTATTTATTCCACTGCGAGCTCAGCGAATACTCATTCACTCGCCCCTCCTGGCACGACAAGAATGGCATAAAATTAATAATTTTTAAACACGCCATCTCCACCAAAATATTCATATTCTTTTCACTGTATTTGTGTTATATTTTTATTTGTATTTTTATTTTTAATATTTTCAATTATTTCTGCTGCTTAGCGGCAAAACTACACACGCACAGGTGAATGCAAGAAACCAGTAGGACTTTCTCAGCGACTAAAGGCATTTACATGAGCAAAATAACCAACGAAATTATTTAGAACATCATTGAACTGCAAGCTCCCTCACATCTCAGCAAAGGGTGGCACTTATTGCGATGGCGAGAGCCAAACTTTGCTTTGGCTGATCAACAGCTCTGTCTTTCCCTACAGGGTATGTGCGCATGTACTTATGCGGAACAATTCTACGGCTCAAGTATATTAATTTTCGCAAGACTGGACTTAGCATCATTTACATACTGCATTAAGCACATTATAATATAATTGCATTTTAACAGACTAATGCGAGCGCTTTTATGAACAATAGATGCCTCCTTGTATTTCCGGCCATGAGAAGAAATATGTAAAATCGTGCTTAATAAAAGCGGGAAATAAAAAGAAACCTCTTTGTAATAGAAAAACTTAAAGTGTGCTGAAAAAAGAGTAACTACAAAAAACTCTCTGGGGATTAAGTGACTAACCTTTAGTATTGATCAAAAAGACCGAAATTCAGACAAATTCAGATCGGCATTAATGTGTTAGAGATGCAAAAAAATTATCAGCTCTTTAATTAAATTTCCAGAGACCACACACGAATGCATTAACTTCGTGATTTTCGTAATTTTTTTCATTTTGTTTAATTTTTGCATTGACAGTAGATTACATGACAGGATCATCCGTAGTGAAAAACAGAGAAATTAGTTTTAAAAAAATTTAAATTGGATTTATGCCAAATTTGTTATGCATGAAGAAAAGTGCTGCTGCAACCCATCGAATACTTCCGGAAGTTTATGGTGGCTTTGCGCCGACTAATTAGTCTCGCAGAGAGTGGGTCCGCGGCTTCAAAAGTAGTGGTCTTAGCGTCGAAGGCAAAAAATGTCCCGACCAACTAAGAAAATTTAAAGCCGAGAAATTAAATTCTTTACTGAATCAAGATCCCTGCCAACCAGGTGAAACCGTTAATGCAAAACGTTATCTACTACAACAGATTAGTTTGAGGGGTGTATTGCGTGGAAAACGGAAAAAGGAAGGAAACAAACGAAAGGCATGAAAGTTGATTTTGCGACATGACAAGACTTGGCCCCAGTCAAAAACTATCTGGAAAAGCTAAATGTCTTTCCCCCCCACGCGCTGTATGCTCCAGACCTTACAAACTAATAATATTTTAATTTCTTTTCTTTTCTTTGTTGTTGATAGAAATAAATTTATGAAATATAAAAACATCGGTTAACGGTAATAAAGCATTCACAGCACTAAATTCTTCATAATCTATGACATTGGCATTCGCAGCAAGTGGGTCATAACTAACAGTTTTTTTTTTTTTTTTTTTTTTTTTTTTTTTTTTTTTTTTTTTTTTTTTTTTTTTTTTTTTTTTTTTTTTTTTTTTTTAATAAATACCTCGGAATTGTGTGAAGCTTTGGGTACATTAAGTTAGGTTATCCGTTTTTCGCTTCACCATATTAGCTCGTCAATATTTTGAAGCGCTTCTCTCAACGTTCTTCGAATTATCTAATACTCACAAATACATACAATTACTCCCGTCCGTCTACATATGAGTGTATTTAATTAAAAAGCTTTGAACTCACCATTGAAATTTTGCAGGCCATATGAAGTCCGCTTGTTTTGACTGGAAATCGCTGTCGGCTGTTTCGTCGTTGCCGCCTCCACTGCTACCACTTCTGGACTTTCGGCTACCGCTAAACCGCTAACTCCACCGATGACGCTTGCCTTCGCTGTGGTGGCTGATGCTGCGGCGGCAGTTGTGTTTGTTGTTTGTGGCGCTCCGGGCAGTTTCGCCGAGGTAGCAATAGCGTGCCTTATTTCATTCGTCGGCGCTGCTAATAGAGCCGCGCGCTGTGAACGGCTGATATTCATTGATGAATTATTCGTATCACCTTCAAATATCAACGCTGGCAGCGCCGAACCTTTTGTGCGTGCATACGAAGTTGAAGTTGTTGACGGCGCTTCAACCAATTGGCTCGGTAGACCGGTGGTGATGAGGTCAGTTGTGCCACGGGTTGACAGTAGAGATTTGTGTTGTTGTTCAGGAAGCCCCTCTGCACGGCAATTAAAGAGCTGGGCCGCCGTCTTAATGCCATATAATTCACGACAAAGGTGCTCATATTGATTCCTCTCCGAGTGCATGGCAACATTTAAATACTGAAAATTTCCCGTTTCTAGCATTTCGGCTGATGTTAGGTTGATCGCGTTGGCAGTTCCATGCTCGGATGCTCGCAAGCCGAAAATGTTATTTAGTTGCTGTAGAGGTGTGGGATCAGTGGTATTTTGAAAGTCCACCTGCTTATGCTGGTAGGAAAATCTTTCGGCAGACATTTGCTCTCTCCCATCCATTGTGATTGTGGTATATGAAGGCATTTTCTCGTCTTCCACCAGCGATTGCGGTGATAATTCGTAGGAATGCTTGCGACTGTGTTTGCCATCAGCGTTTGGTCTATTCATCACGTAAATATTATTGTAATCCAGTAACATGCCGTAGGCCACTTGAGCAGCAACAATACTCGACTGGTGGTTTGCTAGCAATAATGGCATGCCGAAATTTGTTAAACCGATTTGTTGGATTCAAAATATTCCGGTTACTCCATGCTTCCGAAATGCATACATTTTTAGCCTGAAATAATATCAGAAGGAGACGAGTTAGCGATTTACTTGGCTAAGTTTTTACCTAGTAGATTCTTGTGACATTTCTCTACCTTATGTTTGAAGGCAGAGGATAACACCATGAGCAGAAGCTACCATATGCATTATATAAAATAAGAAATTAGGACTGTCTTCAGTGTTTGAACGGCTAGCCGTGAATGGTGATTTCATCTTAGGTAAAATTGGTAGAAAACTCAGCTCCTTCGACAAAAAAAGAGAGAGTGGACTCCAAAAATAAAACTATCAAGAACGTTGTGATAGACGGAGCATTCAAATATTCATATACAATACATACACATTTTCAACATTCGCGCTTTTCGTTCGCTCGCGACCCTTACATCGGTACTGTGCCGATGTAGCCACAAAAGAATACAATTTCTTAATTCAAGACTTACTTTCCAGCTGTCCTGGAACGAAACAAAAGTTAAGGAAGGCGACCGGAATACCTGTGAAGGATAAGTTTTGTTACGAAGTTAGTTAAAGACTTTGCTCGATCACGGAACCCTGATGAAGCATGTTGCACCCTTGAGAGAGATTTCTTTCACCTTTTCAGAGGCTTAAATCACTTGGTGTGCTTATGAAATTCAGGAGATTAATGATGCCTACAGATACAAGCTCTGCAAGGCGTTATATATAATTGGCCGAACTCCTTTTTATGAGGAGCTTTATTTCATGTCAAAAACAAACTCAGAGGGGTTGACACTCCCTGCCGAGGAGCGACCGCAATTAAAAAATTTAGCTTAATTTTCTACAACATTTTGGATGTTAGTACGACAACAGGATTTCAAGCCGAGTCTTCCGGTTGGCAGTACGCAATGCTTACCACTCGGCTACCGCGGCTGCAAGGCATTAAAAGAATACATTTCCTAACGGACCGCAGAGAGTCCCACAAGTGACATTAGTTCCATCGATTCCTCCTCATTTGTGTTCCAAAGTCGTTTGAGAAGCAGCCCGCAGAAAAGATTATTATGGTTTGCTAAGGTGGGTGGTGTGTTTATTACGTTACAATCAATTAAGCACCAAGCAGAATATCGAAGATCCCAAATTCCCAACTGGTAGCACTCACATCACTATGCAGCAGCAGGAGGTTGATGGGAGGTTGAAACTCTACTAATAATTTATCTTCGAATCTTCTAATAATCACAGACGTACATAAAGACTCACATACTAACGTTAATTTGAATTGACTACTGTACAACATTCTTCACTCTTCTAGTGGTTCATCAGTAAAATGCGATAAACTATGTACACAAAACAAACAAGCAAACAAACAAACATAATTACGATGACTTTATGAATTTTTCGATATTTTCGACAGGAGATTGGCTTCGAGCGAGCGTTGGTTGGCTTGCGCTTACCGATCTTCTCTGCTTCTTCTTTTACAAATTAGAAATGTAGTTGATTTGCTTTTGTGTTTTTACATCGTTCTTTTTTTTTTTTTTTTGTATTTATCTTTTTTGATTTTTGAAATTATGTTGGGTGTTGAAATTATCTGCTCAAAGTGTATTTTCCTACTCTGAGACACGTTCAATGCCTTCTTAAATCCCGAACTAATTAAAATGACAAATCGTTTGGCAAGAAATGCTCACTATAAATGTCATACATAAGTAGATACATATGTACATGTATATATGCTAGTATGTATTTATATATATATGTATATATTTTTTTGTATGTATATATGTACATAAGAAAGGGAAGTATGTACCTGTGCGCTTAATGATTTTTTTCGGGGCCGACGAACTGCCTATTTGCTTTCCGACTAAAAAATTAGCTGCCTATTCTTCGGCCTCGGCGCTGCCGTCTGTGCGGCAATGAGCAATGAGTGGGCATGTTTTGATATTTAATTAAATTAGACTTTTATTCACTTGTCATCCCTTCTAGTCGCCACTAAGCTTCAAATGCGATTTAAAAATTTTAGAATTGTCATGAAATTGTGGCCAAAATGGAAGCACAGAGAAGGCAGTTGGAGAATCTGAGAATCTAGTAAGATGGTTTAATACTTATATTTGTATGTATGTACATCTGACGGGCTTCACTCAGTAACATTTAATTAGTGATATTTTCGATCCTTTATTAGATGTACATATGGAGATTTGTTTGCCTTTCTATTTAAAGCCCATCATCAGCCCGCTTAGTGATGTTGGAATATCATTTCGTTTACTTATGCATAAATACAATTCTGTATATACATATATAATGATATATGTATATACTTTGATTTATTTCTCATCATCTGACCGCTTCAGTATTTCGCTCCAAAACAAAATCGCAAGTAAGGCCAAGCTCTAGCCAAGAGCTCCCTCACTATATACATAGCATCTTGCAAGGTCTTTCTTTGGCAAACAGGCCACGATACCATGCTAACTCCTCTATCATCTTCCGCAACCACTGGGAATTTAGAATTGTTTGAACTCGCGTGGTCCGTTTCTTCAAGAGTGACAGGCCCATCGCTCAAAGAACTCAGGAAAGAAATCTTTGAACACATTTCCTTCGGGCCTTGAAAGTATCAGCGAATCCTGTGAACATTGCAATAGATGTCCATCGCCAAATCGTCTCTTGTTGGGTAGTGTAAATTCTCGGACCAGGTAAGACTGTTTGAGGTTGAGAGAAGTGTCAGACATACTAGTATGCATGTACTAAATGCATATACGTCTGTACACGTGTATATTGATTGCTTAAATGTATTAATATATTATTTATATCATCAATAGCCATGCACTAAAACAATTTGAAAAACATTTACCTTAAACACTTGAAGCCGCAGCAGTTTTATGTAAATATTGATAGTGACATGTGTGTTTGTTTGTATGTAAATATGAATGCTTTAAGCGGAAAATAAACACAAGTCGCGTTAAAAGTGGGATAACAGGTACACACATACACACACATACATATATTCATTTGCGGCAATGACGAACAATCTTAACAATAATTTCCATTTAGGCTCATATGCATACATACTCGCATATACACGTATGTATGTAGCAGCTCGTACATACGGACATGCATTTGCGATCGAATTACTTACAAATGTACTTTTTCCACAATTACAATAACGTAAGTAAGCAAATAATATGATAATACGCTCGTGAAGGAATAAATAAAAATGAAATAATAATAAGAAATATTTTAGCTGCAAATATACAAACAAAGTCGTACGTATATATATACATACGAGTGTGTGCTTGTGGACTGACATACAGCAAGAAAGCTCACAACACGAATATTCAAAAGCGATAAGAGTTGGAAAAAGATATGAACTTCGCTGGAAATCATATAAATATCGAACTGAACTGATTATATTCCCGTTTTATTTATTGAATTTATTTATTGAAGTTTAAACAATGGTTTTATTGTGGGGGGAAATGTGAAATATGCATAGGCCACGGAAAGGTAGGTACACTGCTTCATACACCTGCCAAGAGCCGTCGATGTAGACGTAATTTACTAAGAAAGAAACGAGCGAGCCTCAATTTACAATAATATGCAACAACCTCAGTTTGTTATGGGTACGAGTGTAACCTTGTTTTCTGAATTCTTCCATAAATTAATGTTCTGCGTTACAACTGTGATAACCAATATTCTCGGAACATGGAATTTTGAAAACCCACTGCCGCCAAGTGGAACGAAAAAGTTCAGATATTAAAAATGACGCATTTATTACTGAATCTGCTTAACTAAACATGCTCGTAAGCCAGTATAACGGTAAGTACAGAAAGCCTAAAACTAAATTAAGAACGTGATAGCTCGATAATAAACACTTCCGATTAAATTTAAATTTTCTGTGTATTTCGGAAATGGATCACGTCTTTACACTTTTTCTCATTAACTTTAACTACCAGAAGAATGGCTGGCAATTCTTTGGTAAGGCATAAATGGTCCCAAAAATGGTAAAAAATACCAGTTTGGCAAGCTTGATAGGAAACTTCGCCCCCCACTACCCCTACCTACTTAAAATTCTGTTTTCCACCCAGATGACGCAGACGGGCCCAATCGCTGAAGCGTTGAATCGCTGAACAAAAACAATTCTTTCTATCCCAGAGTATGAATTTTGGCATAGCAAGTCTCGTTTTCAATGAGACAGCTTAATGTATGTATGTGAAGATGTTTTATAAATGGTTATTAATGCAAATTCTTTATAAATTTGCAAGTCTTATTAATAAATCCAGTGTCCACAGGCATATACATATACTCACCCATAATTCGGTAGATATAAACATACACGTAAATACATATGTACGCAAAGGAAGCAATTTTCAAGTGTCACAGTAACTGATAATAAAATCCGTAAATAAATTATTGAATCTGCCGTTGAAATCGGGGTAATTATTTTTAGGCATTCACATAATATTTTCGCCAATCTAAGCGTTTCATTGTTTGCTATTGTGCAAATAATCATGCACATATACATACATACATACATATGTAGCTATGTATGACGAATAACGCTGACGAATGCTATGTAAATTTATTCATGGAATTCAAACGTCTTATCTATCAAAGACCCATTCTTATCGATTAATTATTTTTATTATGTTTTTTTCATCGAAAGAACCTGTTGCTTCTCGCTCAGGTAGAAAGGCCCAACAAGCACTTACAGTTAAGTATACAGTACTTTACATTCCTACTGTTGTACATACAATTATACATATGTATATATATAACTTGGTGTTATTGATTCTGAGTAATAATGGCAATAAATTATCATTTCAAAATAAAACGATGTTCCCTCATCGAGCTCTGCAATTGATAGTGACACAGAAGCATAAATGCGTGTTATGTATGTTATGTATGTATGTATGTATGTCGCGCTTTTTGCTTGCGAAATATCATAAATATATTGTTTGTTTTGATTTGCATTTCACTTTTCGCATTGCAAGGCTCTTAAATACATTTTAATGTTCGATACTCGAATTTCCTTGGGCTCACGGTTGGCTTGCAAAAGCATAAAAAAGTGAAAGCGTATCGCAGAGCCGCCATGTCGAACGGGACAATTTCGGATGAAAGGACTGCCACCACCCACTTCTAGATAATATAATAAAAATTATATTTTAAAATTCTACTTCTCGCATTACGGGATTCTCTTAAAAAATTTACCACATTCGCTTTTTGCGTTGACCTAAGTTAAAAAGATCCAAACACTATTGCTTACTCCATTTGATTTTTCAAATACTTGAAAAATGATATTTTTTGATGAAAAATATTTAATTTGATTCGTAATTTTAGATCGTATTTGCCAATGACGGCTACTTCCCAGCGGATGTTGGTGTTAAGCTCGTCTAGGTTCCTTGGATCCAAAGAATAAAGTACGACGAATTCGTATATTCCAAGAGACGAGACTCATCGGATGACAACGGCCGCAGATTTAATTGAATTTTGTGCGGCATTAGCTTCAAATGATAATGAATTATGCGCCGCAGTGCGGTTCGAGGGATGACTAATTGTGCAGAACGATGTGAAGCTGATGTTCTGGATATTTTCATCGGATCGTCTGGTTCGCTTTTGATTCGGACACCTGGGAACGCTTTTTGTGTTCCTTGACGGCGCCCTTTTCACTTTAAAAGTCTAATGCTTCAATATTTTTCAGTTCAAAGATATCTTACTTCTTTTAAGGTTAGGTTGCTCATTTTACCTTCCAGTAATAAATTCAAAGACAATATCAAATAAATAATATAATTAAAGAGGCTTTCAAATATCTTTTGAAATTGACCATAGCTATGTATGTGCTTATGTATATATGTAAATGAAAGTGTCCAGTCTGGTAATAACCCCTTGGCAGGCTCAAGCCTCGCATTGAATTTATTTATGTTTGTATTTACATGGAAGAAGTTCCATCGCACCTCTTAATTTATGTATGTATGTATATAAAAATATACTTAAAAAACTAACAGAAAATGAATGCAAACACTCGAGAGCAAATAAAAAGACACAAATAAACAATGGAACTGATAAGGAGGACGCAATAAATGCGGTTGAAGCGATCGACGCTTGTGGTAATTGGACACGTAAAACGTGCATTCAGCGATGTTACAGGTACCGCAGCACACACATACATACTTGCATACATATATATATATATATATATATGGTTGTGTGCAGGCATGAATTTACTTGTGCATATTTGAGTAATTATTATTTATTATTATGCATCACACTTAGGTATGTATGTATGTACTTAGTATTTATGATTTATAGGCGACTATGAACTAGTGCACATATGTACATTTACATACAGATTCATAAATACCGCATGGACACAAGTGTTTTGTTAATAAATGATAATAAAATACTTATTTTCTTGCGATCGAACTGCGGAAAGGAAATCAACGATATATTGAAATTGATATTAAATTCACATATACCTACGTATGTATGTGGACACATATGTACATATGATCATGTAGATATGTATGTATGCGATTTGTTTATCTGCGGCACACATTTGCTCATATCTTCGATCGTGTCAAATATAAATAACAACACAGGTTGAAATGCTCTGCTTATCTTTTATTTAAACTAAATAAATGCATATATATATATATATATATATATATATATATTTACATAAATGTCTACATATACACATACCCGTATGGACTTGTGCGTGCGTGCAATTTCGAATTGATCGTTTCTTGTTATTTAAACAAAAATTTACATAAACATTTGTTTAACTGACATGTATGTAAATATCTATGTACATATATGTATGTTTGTATGTATGCATAATTGCTGAGGAAATCAGAACAAATTCATATCGTTCAACAATTCACAAGGTAAAGCGGCTACATATATATAAAATATATGTGTATGCTCTACATAAATTAACACACACACAGCATATGTATATACTGTATAGATGCATGTGCCAATGCATACGGACATACTCGTATATGCTGATTATCAAATTCAGTTTGGCTTAGAAAAAACGTTGGAAAAAACAACAATTTCAGCTGGCCGCTGTATCCGACGCGGCTGCGATTTGTGAGTCGAAGTTCCCACCAAGACCACATCTCAAACCAAAAATAATAATGTACGCAACGGTACTAAATATTTATTATTTCACTCAAAGACCGTATCTAGTATTGACTGCGCTGCTTTCATCCATGAAAGTCTTAAGAATAAAATTATTTTCAGAGAATTGCTGAAGGAAGGATGGCGAGCCTGGATTAACTAGAGTAGTCAAATGTGAACAAATTCTGAAATCAATTTAGATATATTTATACAAAAATAATGTTGGATTAAATACAAAATTAATTGGAAGTTATTTGCAAAAGAATCAATTACTTAGATATTCATTACCAATTCAAATTAATATCTTTATTAAAAATATAGTGAAGGTTTCAATTTGTTTATTATACACGAGTATATAACCGTTGATGGAATTTTCGCCGAGCTCCTCTTCCAATCTGTGGCTTTGTGTCTTATGTTTTTCCAGCAAATGGAGGGACCTACAGTTTATTCTATGAAGCCTCCGAGCGGTTGATGGATTCTTACGATAAGCTTTTACTTCAAGCCGGAAATACATGCGGAGGTGTTGTCATTCCCTATCGAAAGGCAATTAGAAAAAAATTAATTTAAAATTGAATTCTTCATAAAATTTGGCTCTTTGTCTGGCTTGGAAACCGTGACAATCCGCATGACCAGTTAGCAATGAAAAAAAAAAAGTTATGTCCTTTGAATCAATTAAATTTAAATTAGACACCTCCTTTTGATATGAAAAAATTTTCAATAAACTTTAGCTGGAAAGTCAATTTTAATCGAGATAAGCAAAACGGAAATTAAACCCACCTTTTCGATTCATTCACTTTACCATGGAATAATCGAATTAGAAATCCATAAATTAGAGTGCAAAAAGGTTTGTCATTTTTTCCCCTTTTTTTGTAATAAAAAATGTAAGAAATTTAAATTTTTTTTTCCAATATTTGTTTTATTTTTATTTTACTCGAAGAGTTAACACAAATGTTTATTAAAACGGACTCTCCAAAAGTACATTCGATTCAAAATTAGAAGTTCACTTGATCACTTTGTGTCGAAATGCAACGAAATGCCGTCGTTAAATCGCCCGCGCACGTGTTGCTGTGTTTTATCATTTTAATATGGAGTAACCCGCATTCGGAACGTATGAACACTTGAGCGCAAACATTGGGGGAACATTTCAATTCTATTGACAAGGTAAAATCACAAATAATCTTTTGTTGTTTTTGTATTAATTTTTTTGCACTTGCTCTTGCACGCCGCCACACAGTTGCGTGTATTATTGACAAAAGTTGTTTGCACCAACGCGATCGTCCCATGCACCGATCAAACAAACGCACCAACAGACAATCGGACAATGAAGTGAGTACTCCACACCACACCACACCAGCCACCTTCCACTCGCATGCCGAATTCGAATCAAAGCTTGGCTGCACAGCACTACAACGCTGCCGGGAATGCTCCGTCGAACGTCGGCGCATCCAATATCTGAGGTGTTCAGGATAAGCCTCGGGTATGGCTCAGCGCTCTAATTTATTCTTCACTTTTCGTTTAGGAAATTGTATCTCAAAAACCGATGAAAAGAAAAACTACTCCGAAATAAGTCAAATCCATTGCCGGCCGAGCCAATGAAGACAACCATTCCAAAAAGAATTGTCTTCACACAGATGACACCTGAAAGCTATGGGAGAATTAACGGCTGATAGCACAGAGATACAAACATACATACAAGAGCTTATATTAAAGCTAACACATTAGGCACAATGAGAAATGGGTTCCACAGAGGTAACAATTTGCGAATTGCTCTTTTTTTGCACTGGCGCTATTTCACTGGGCTTGCGCTGAGTTGAGTGCAGTTAACTCGGCTCTCAGAGAAACTCGATTAGATCACTCAATATTATGCCAACTCTTTGTTGCTAACTAAGCTCTTTGTCGATCACCCAAAGCGTGCATACTGGCGCGTAGAGCAAAGCTGAGCAGTAAATGTTTGCTCTTGACTTCGGTGAAAACTTGATCAAGTCAACAATTAAGATTTTGTACTCGCAGTTTTCATTTTTCTATGACTTTCTTTTTCGTATTGAATGCTCTTAAGCATAAATCAGAAGTACCAGCCGACTTTAGCCCGGCGCCCTCCTCACATTTCGGTTTGTCTACGCCACTGGTCTTAATCCGAGTAATCTTATTTTCATAATTTGTCCGCACTCCAGTGGGTGGAGACTTTAGATCTGCTCTGCTACTGAGATGGCTTCTCAGAAAAAAGGCCATTAAGCGCCGAGCGCTTTTTTCATGTCGCTATCCAATTAGAGGTCGGTAGCCAAACCGGTTTCTCTCTCTTGTATGCAATCGCTTGCTTTTGGTCATTGTTCTCTCTATTTTCCATTGATTGAGCCAAAATTAGTTAAAAGAGAATAAGGTGGAATGAAATGTATGTATGTGTGTATGTGTGTGTTTGCATATGATATGGTGGATTATTAGTTATTATTAGGCTAAGCATTAAATGAGTGTTAGGTGCTTTTATAAAAAATATAAATATATATGCACATATTCCCTATTTCTTGTGGATTGTTCCAACATCCTAGCTCAGCTTTACTGACGCAGGTGTAAGCCGTCCTGATTACAGCCGAGTTAACTACAGCGCAACATTCAGTCCTTCCTCTTGCAGGTACTCCTCCACCTAGTCTTTCCAATGGAGCGGAGGCCTTCCTCTTCCTCTATTCAATTCAACGGATGCTGCATCGAAGTCTTTCAAAGCTGGAGTATTCTTATACATCCGGGCCACAGAACTAACCTGCGTAGATGTTGTCTCTTGATTCCTTGAACTGCGTATATATTACATACAGTTCATCATTCCTTCGACTACGGTATTCTCTCGAAAAAACTCCGAAGACTAACTCATCTCATGTTGTTCTCGTCCTTGCCTCCGCACCATATAGCGGGACGGGAATGAAGAGCGACTTGCAGAGTTTGGTATTTGTTCTTCGAGAGAGGACCTTAATCTTCAATTTCCTACTCCGCCCAAAGTAGCACCTGTTGGCAAGGTAGATTCTCCCTTGGATTTCGAGGCTGACATTGTTGTTGGTGTTTATGCTAGTTTCTAGATAGACGAAATCATTTATGACCTCAAAGTTATGATTGTCAACTGTGACTGTTTGTTTGATGACAGTATTCTCCTATAAGCGATTCAGCAACTAAATAAAAGCAGGTGGATCAGAGCCAATAACGGAGCCGGGCTTATCATACTGCAGTCAATGATGCAGCGATCTCGTGCAGTTGGCGCAAGAACTCAGACATCTTCCTCAAGTACCACCGAAACCATTGTGCTACACTCGTGAGAACCTTCTCCTAGTTCCATAGCTTTCATCTGATTTGAACATTGCCCGGATCCCATACTGAACGAGCTGAAGCATATGTTAGTTGCAAGGATCGGTAGAGAGGTCACACAAGTAAGGCCTCAGACATCATCGCCTATTGAGGTAGCAAAAGAAAGCATCCGGCTGGGAATATTTGATGACAAACGGGAGAATGGGTAGGTGCTCATGGCCCATGGGAAAGGCAGTTTTTTCTGGGTCAAAGAAGCTTGGCGTCCATGTTGTGAATATAGCTGCAAGATCATTCTGGCGCTAGGAGGATCGGATATCGAGGTATAATCTGTTGGGCATTGTCCAAAAGGTAGACTGTCATCGGAGCTGTTTGTTTACTCTATTATAAATGTAGACATTAATATATAAACATACAAACATAATACACTTCTACAGACTTTTATACATACATACAGCTCGAATAAATCCTCAAAGCATCTACGTTATCAATGCAGCGACAAGTTTAAAATCCAAGTTGCCTCCAATCGACGAAGATATCAACACATTTACAAACACTTGTTGAGCTCTACACAGTAATACGCTCATTCAGCGGATGGATGAAACAACAATGGACCAAGCGCTGTCAACACAAACATTCTACCAATTGCCAAAACGCCGCTCAAAGCCACCGGCCGAGCTCATTTCAGCGTTGCCTTCGCGCCAGCATCTGCATACACGAGCTTCCTAACTGTCTGCTTGAGAATTTCGAACTTCACAATCGTCCAGTGATATAGCTTCCACGCTGATATGATACATACATACACTACTGAGCCAGCTATGCATATAATTGCCCATTCTGGATATAACACACAATTCGGTAGGAGCCGCAATGTGACTTTATTTGAATGCATCGATTATTTAAATTCTTTATTGGTTGGTGGAATGCAAACGAAAATTCCATTCATTTCCCTTGTCTTCGGTTTGTCTTCGGCCTAGCAGTTGGGAGCTCGCAGGCGCCGCAAAATCCTCTCTGCCCAAATGGGCGATGAAATGCCAATTGATTCAATGATTTTTGCATCATGGCTTAAGGCATGGAATTGCATATGCCCATTAGGGTGCTCCTGTTGAGATCGTGGGGGATCTCAGAAAAGGATTCACTTTTAACACATCAATATAAATATTGAAAGTATTCTGGAAACGGTCAGGGACATTGCACTTCGGAAAGAGATTGCTCAAAACATATTGGAGATACAGCAGATGTCCTTGCCTTGTTTTCTTTCTGATTTAATTCTGTTTAAATTGAACTACTTGACTTGATGAAGTCTTACATAGACGACACCACGTCCACAGAGTAAGATCTTCCCCAGCATTTTCTGAACTTAACATTTAAATTGCGGCCATCTGAGGTCAGGACAGACAACGCTCCATTAATGGCCTTTTTAGCAATTCTGCAGCTCTTTGCTCGTTTCCAAAGTCCTTGTTCCTGGCGAAGTTGAAAAAATCCTTCTGTTGAGAAGTTGGATTGTGTAGTGGGCTCTGCAATAAAAGAAGTGAAAAATATATTAACTCTAATTACATATGTACATACATACATACACGTAACTACACTTAACAATTTTTTAGATATTTTCTTTCAGTTTCTACCAAATTTTAAATATCTCTTTTCACAAATATTTTTGGACTCCCTTATTTATACAACTAGACACATACATATATGGAAATTAATTTGATTACATATTGATCATATTCACGGGCGTACGCACGGCAAGTCAAGTACGTAAATGACCTTCCTTGTTTGGTCCTAACCTCAAACCTAAAATGCGAAAATTCTTTTCAAGAATTGAAAACTTACATACCTACATATATACATACATATGTACCTATGTGTGCATATATGCATGTACAGTTTTATTTATATTTATTAAGTGTGCTTTTAACCCACAAAAGAGACGGAGGCCTTCTTCATGGAAATCTCAATTAAGCGTGTTTAAATCTTCAGGGGTTTCTATTTGCATTTGTTGATATTCTAAAAAAGGTTTATGCCTTGTACCTACATACTACAATATATACATACGTACATACATGCATACATACATACGAACATATATATGTATCTATGCGCTTCTGTTGCTCGCTGATTGAAAATGAAGAAGAAGACGTTCAAGAAGAAGAACAAGAGTTATAAATGCAAAGAGTGCCTAATGCAATGATAATATTTCTTTTTTTTATTGTTGTTGTAAATGTTTACGCACTTTTCGCTCAAAAAGTCAACGCGAACAAGTTCACCTGGCCATATTTAGAATTTACACGCATATGTTTGTTTGTATGTATGAATGTATGTGTGCGTATGCGAGTATGTTGATCAGCTTTAAATTATGGTTATACCAGTTGAAATAATTACAATTATTGCGATGACACCGATAATGATGATGGCTTGCAACAGTTAGGCCTGAGTGTGCATAAATATGTATGGATACATACATACATGCATATGTATGCATGTGCAAAGATATATATTTTTATTTGTTAAATTTATATGCTCTTGTTACATATATGTACGTACATACTGGACCATTAGAACTCATAAGTGTATGTACATATCTCTACGATACCCCCTAAGCTTGTGTTATGTTGTTAATGGTTGCAATAGGATGGTTATCGCATCACAGCTACCACTCATGTAAAGCAATTTGTACCCCGAACCTCTTGAAATATTCAAGATTTTTATCATAATTCCAAAAAAAAGCTTAACCAGGTTAAGTTGTTCAACTTCCTAAAAGGTGATCATTATCAAAATTCCTTGAGAAGTACCCCGTAAAACTGCTTGACGTGGGTCCCAACTTATCCCCCTGCTTGTGTTAGAATCGAAACAGTCAACTTTCAAAAATTCGGTTTCAGCCGCGCTTAGTCCTACCTTACCTTTATTATTGACAATAATATTCCCATATGGATTTTCAAGTTTACAGAATTTCAAAAATTATTCATATAGCTGTTATTGGAGACTATGGAAGTGTCTACGGCACTCTTTGAGGATTAATGTATGAGCCACGAGTGTACATATATAACTAGGCCAGACATACGTAAATATTACGTAAATTCATGTGCAAGGGTGTTTCAAATTCATCAAAGTCGTGAGAAAATTTAAGTTTTTAATTTGCCATAAAATCGAATAACAAATTTTAGAACCAGTGCACTATAGCCCACGAAACCAAAAGTAATTACCTCGAAGCCCCCGAAATAGTACTCGTATGCTGCACTTCTTATTATTTCACAATGGTAAAACAGAAGTCCAAAGTTAGCTCTTATTGAGCTTATAGCGTTAATCGAGATTTTTTCAAGTGTTAAAGGATTTCCAAACGAAATGACGCGAGGTAGAGTATTATCAAATGAAGAACCTGGTTAAAAGTAGCGAAAAACTTGCAAGAAATCGGGGCGTGGTGCTAAAATACTTACAGAGCCCGAGGAATTAAATGTTTTCATGCCAGTCGGGGGAAATTTGTCGCTTTCTGACCAAGATCAGAGAAAAATCAGCACATTAAGTTTGAACTATACAAGTCCTAGGTGACTATGCCGATGGTGTACCCTGAGCCGACACAAATATTTGAGGTTATCAAAGTTGAAGAAATAACCTCAGAAATCACGTCTACAGAGAAGAAAACATGTAAGTACACCTAGTAGAACGCAGTAAGTTATTCCTGTGGAAGCTATCTGTTTAACTCCATTTGTGTGATAGGTAATCTTCTCGGACAAACGAAAATTCTTCTTCATTCTTCTTCTAATGCAATTTCGGAGGAGGTTACTAATGGTATGTGGGATTTTTACATCAAAAGCAATGCTCCAATTACAATACATATCGTCTCGACTTCATAGCCATCCATTTTTTAAGTACATTTTTGGTTGATTATTACATAGAAAAAGTGGACTGCGCGGTCTGCTGTCCGGACTTAAACCCCATAGAGAACGTGTGAGGCAAATTAGTGACGGGTCAATATGATAATTTACTAGGAAGATGTTTAGTTAGTCAATTTTAACGACGGTTGAAACAATCAGAAAGTGTTTTTGTTCTAAAACATCTGAAAGCTTAGGAGAATCTTGACTTCTTTACAAGTTATTACTTTAGGTCACAATAAGTGGTCATGTGGGCGATAGTGCAAAGGAAGTGAACTTATGTTGATATTAATCACCGATTCAGCGAAAACCGCTTTAGTGGTTATAAAGCGTCAATTATATAAATATATAATAATCACCGATTCTAACTCCCCTGACAAAAGCTCGGCGATATTATCCAGCGTATATGGAGCACTTATTTAGGCGTCAGGGCGATTTTTTCTCACTATACTGGGCCTTAACTTTCGACAGAGTTTAATAGAATTCCCGAAAAACTCACATACTCGTTTGTATGTATGCATTTTGTCATTGTTGAAATTAGGTTTTTGTTGCACAAATTTGTGAGACAAGATGCTCAGGACTATTACTTTTAAGTCATACAGCTAATACTCTCATAGAGAAGCTCTGCGCCTAAAACTGTGCTTTTAGGTTTCGTGAATTTTTTAACAGATTTTGTGAATTTTTCCTTGAAGTAGCGTGGAGCAGCAAATAATTAACATTCGTCTCATCAATTTCCAAGGCAAAAATATTACCATCGTGTGTACATTTGTCTTCGTTCGTAACCAAAAACGTGTTGTATGACCAAGATTTTCGAAATCGTTCTGTAAAAAAAGAAACTGATTTAAATATTTCCAAATTTCGGCAGCGCACTAAAAATCCTGTTCTTTATACCAATTCTTAGGAAAAGTTTGCACAGAGTTGAATTTTCCTAATTTAGCAGAAGCGGAAAGGTTTGTTTGCCTTGTTCTCTTTAATAGATTTGATATATTTTTTTTAAATATTTAAGTAACTCCACAGAAATTGTTTTCCGAAAGTACGTTCCAATATTTGTTAAATACTTATTTTTACAGCCTTGCTCTATTTAGCGAATAAACCTGTCGAATCTCAGTTTAATACTGGAACAGCAGTTAATATAAGTCACACTTCCAACCCTGCCTCCCTCAAAGGAAAAAAAACAGCAACCCTTTTCAACCGTTATTCTCACTTCATTCAACCCTTTTGCTACTTTCTACTTCTCTTTTAGTACACCCAACATTGCGAGGTATGCAAACGAATTGCAATTTTTCCAAAACTCGCACAACCCTTCCATTAAACGCAGCTCGCCAAGAGAGGTCGCTGCTGCAGGTGTTATGTAGTTATCATTTATTCATTTATATCAGTCAACAAAAAAGTCCATGTGTTTGGCATCTAATGAGATGGTCATGTTTAAGGTTTTTTATTTTGTTTTATTAAATTTACATTAACATTTATTACATTTTACATTCATTTTACTTACCAAAGGCCAAGCGTTCGCCAAAGTTGCCATATCAGTAAGGAAATCATACACACAACAGGATGTCTCATTGGACAAGTAATCGCATTCATTTATGTTAACTATACGTCAATACAGTGGGACAAAATGTCAATTATTTGTTAGAAAATTTACAAGAAAAAATTTAATTATTTCAAAGAAAAATAATAACGAAATGAAAAAGTTGTTTTTATATTTTCGATTTGTGCGAAGGGCCACATAACTCGAAAAGTTACCGACCGAGAGATCACCGAAATTTGACAAAAAGTTATACGATTTGGATATAAGCATAGATCGTGAGTCGAGTTTCAAGCTTGAGTTTGAATAAGCATAGCTCCGATTGGTGATTTTGCCTTACTTCGCGGCGTTCGTATTAACAGTTACAATAAAAATTGGACAAAATGCAATGCATAGCAACGAGAGTCTGCTGAAGTACATAAAATACGAAAGAAAATATAGAGTCCAGAGAATGAAATTTCCGAGAGAGCTGGAAGCCATTTCTGGGTGAAACGGAATGTCCTGACGGCTTGCAATGGCAGCGAAAGAAAATTCACCCGCAAGCGGTAGAGTGGAGTGCAGGTCAGTAGTAGAGCTAGTGATAGGTCACATCTCCATCCACCACTACAAAGGACCAGTGGGTTTACATAAGGCGTAGCAACTGGTCTGCACGAATGTCCCATGCGACACTGCAATTTTTCAACGCAATCAGATGTGACGCTCAGTTGCTTCTTCGCATTTGTACGCAGTGCGCAGTACGCTCGTGGCCCATCATAATCAGTGACTAAATGTATACAATATGTATAGATTTGTATGTATGGATATGTAAAATGTAATGTAAATTTCATAGTGTCTATCAGCATTAAAACATTCTTCTGCGGAATTAAATAACAAACACGCTTGGGAAGGCAACAAGAAGCTCGCATTATCGAGCACAGGATGACGCCAAATGCCTCTAAGTGTGTTTGAGTATTTATTGCGAGTACTCCACTGCTCTAACAACTCATCTCGTATACTAGTGTGTGTGTATTGGCACATTTAGATTCCTACATACGTACATATGTAGGTGCCTACTCGAACGATTATATTACATTTCGTATTCTTACGCTGGCGCATCAGCGGACGTTCGCCGGCTTTGTTGATTTGTCACAGCGTCACAACTGTGCTCTCGTGTAAATGACGGTAATTTATGAGACGCCTTATTAACATCAGCACTCCGCCTCTCAAGCAGCCTCCAGCAGCTCATCACGATTGGTGCATAGCATATTGGCAGGCTTCTTGGAAATCATACCGAAGCTTGTTCGCTTCTTTTGTGCTTAACTTCTTGTTAATAGTTTTTGCATGGCGCATACACCGACATACATACATACATGCATAAGTAAATGCAATGTTTAAATGTATGATTAAATGCATTTAAGCGCTTTTACATTGCTTTCGAACTCGCGGAGACGATTCTCATGTTTAATTTGTAAATTATTGCTAATTTTTTATTTACAGTTGCTCGGCTCACTCACTATCTATGTATGTATGTACGAGTATATATATATCTATGGACTTGGCCGACCAACTGACGGCGGAATTCTCACGCACTATCCGGGCACATAGTTTTGTGAGCATTTAACTACGATCTGGAAGGAATTTTAGTTGCTTCCTGCATGGGCTCCTCAAACAGCAATCAACTGATCGAATCTCTTTCTACATACAAATGCCAACGCACATTCGTACATAAATATTTATGTATTTATGTGTATTTTAGAAAATTATGTATGTACATATTTAGCCATTGGTACATTGAGTTATGTGCGAAATAACAAGGTGTAAGCAGCAGCTGCATACATATGTGGGCGTAAATAATATATATATATATATATATATATGTACGCATCTATGTACATATAAAGAGCATCTGAGCATCTCATAGATGCTATGGAATTCAAAACGCAACATCAGGATAACATCTACTTATTAATTGTTTTTGTTTTTGTTTTTGTTTTTGTTCACATTTTAATGTGTTCAATCCTCACCGAATGACAACTAAGACCCACCCAAGTATTTGATATATTAAATTTAACATTCCCAACTAATTTCATGTGATGTTGTGCTCCCCATCAGGCTGAGATTGTGAAGGCGATTGCTTCTACTTAGAAACTAAGGTTTGGTTAGGTTATACTGGCTGGCAGTCCCGCCATACATAGACCTGCCGGAAGGTGGTCCAGCTTAGTACGGATCTCAACCCTTTGAATGCGAAGCTGCTAGCTATCTCAGAGGTGTTCTAGGTAAGGCCGAAGAGAAACAGAGAAAATGTTTCAGTGTCTCATTCATACTCTTTTCCCTGCACGTCCGGTTTGTATCTTCGTCACTGAAGCCCATTCGACTCATGTATAATGCCAATAGGTTGTGGTTTCACCCAACGTCGCAGCGAAGCGTTCTACTGCAATGGTGGTAGATTATGTAAACTTTCTAACACAGCCGTTGGAGTGGTTCTCACCGCCGTCGTTGAGCAAAGTACAGGGAGCCGCCGTATTCGCCGTATTTTCTGTAAGAAATCTCGCTGGCAGCGGTCCATAACACCAGAGTACCACAAGGCCAGGCGATAAGCCTGTGCAGACCCTAGCATCCTTTTACATGCGTAGATGGCACCACTGTTCTCTTTCATCCTCTATTCCTCATTGAGTTTTCACATCAGTTTACTGTCCAAATTGACTATCTTTATGCCTTTAATTGATACCCCACCTCCGCTGAGCCTTTGGCCTTTTCCATGCCAGCATCTTTTACCTTCTTGTAAAGAGTACTGTATCCATTTTACCATCCCTTACCTCTAATTAGCTAACCGATGTCGCCCATTGTTATATGACCCTTAGAGCGTTGTTCATCACGTTGCTAATTTAATCTAGAAACTTGCTCTTCCCTAGTATAGCTATATCGTCTGCAGAGGCTATCAGCTTGGGTGCTTTTTCCAGGACTCATTTGTAGTGAGCATAGGAGTGAAGACAGTCCACCCCCCGTATATGCCAATCTGAGCAGTTTGGCCTAGTCCGCATTAATCTTCCTGCATCTTCTTCTGACTACTTTCAGACCATTGCCGATTGCCTCATTGGAGACATTGTTGAATGCTCCTCCTATGTCCAGAAAGACTAGGGTGATTAAGTGAACTGCAGTCTCAGTGGATCTTTATGAAAGCATCTAGAAACTTATCGAATGTCTTCAGAATGAATGTTAGAATAATTGGTCTGTATTCTTTCAAATAAAGCGAAACTCTTTTGCCCGCCTCCACTATGAGTCTGACCCTCGTATCTCTCCAAAGGATACGCACTGTTGATACATTCTGCACCATAGCTTTCACCTATACCAGGGGATATAAGCGGTTCGAAGCCTTTGATTGGCCAAAGTATATCCCGGAAAATACATTTTCACCATCGGATCCACTAGCTTAGCTACCTCAATTGTCTTTTCTAAGCTCTTCCACGACTTCCTAATGGCTTTACAAATTCCTTTTTTATATTCTATCAGATCTTGTCCCATTCCGTCATCTTCGAGTCTCATACTTGCCATCGTCTACAGCTCCTCAGTTCACCTGAGGAGAAATGTGGCAGAGGTCACCTTACGTGGAAGTCGCATTAAAAATTGTCTTTATTTGGAGTATTCGAATAGATTCACAGATCACAGAGAGTACAAAGCTATAACGTGCAACCTTTTGCAACCTTTTTGCACCCAACCCACTAAGGATCACCACGTTATTTATCCACTTACTTGGAAAGCAACAACAAAAGGAGCAGTTTAAGTTCACTTAAGCGATATAACAGTAAGCAATTACATTAGTAGCATTGCTGGATGAATATCGAAATAAAAGTTAAAATTATGAAGGATTTCGTTAAACTTTCCAATAGAGCAGAAGTGAAAAACAATTTTAAATTGCGATTTCTATCCTCGCTTCCGCCTTCGACCCCTTCATTATTGAGCTTCAACCTTGGCGTTTTTTCGGTTGCCGAACGAAGTTGTTTTCAAAGTTTTCTGAAGGTCCACATTAATCTGCTCGCTTCAAACCAGAGTTGTGGACGCTAGCGACACAGGTTGAAATGTTACTGGACGCACCAGTGGTAGAAGCCACTTTTCTTTTACCCGTTACAGGTACCAGCCCTTACAGCCCCGCCACACCCTTAGTGCAGTCGGCACTCGCGTGGAGGATTGGAAATTACTTCGCACAGTCTCGCCTTCTGCGAAAAAAATAAAACTGAAATGATGACTGATGAGATTTTGAAGTAATAGTATGCTGATATGGGCGCTTTTCACTTGTCGGCCACTTTGAATCGGTTGACTTGGGACGAGTCAAGTGCAACTTTCTTAAAAAAAATTCGATGTTCTTATTCATAATTTGCCCGTTGAAGGGTTTCTTAAACAAGGTTCACAGTCTCCGAAATCGATTTGCCAAAATTTTACCAAAAGTGGCTAACTTCTGACGTGGAATATTTCCTCAACTTCGTGATGCAAATTGATAGCCCAATCTCTGTAGATGAAACAAAGTGCCGAACTCTGTGGAAAATTAAACAAATCAGAAATAATTGAAATTTAATTTAATTACATATGTACGTAAATACAGTCTCGTATGTATGTATGACGAATGCGAATGGAAGTTTGAAATCCGAGATGTAAATGCAGTCGGCGAACAAGCGATCATTCAATGCAAATTAATTGAAAATTTCAAGTTCATGCAAAACACGCACACACACACACACATCCACACATCCCCACATCCAATTATCATACCCATATATGTAGGCATGTATGTGTGTTTGGACGCATGGAGGAGTGCATGCAGCCAGTGCAAGTGGCAGCTTTGGGCGACGTGCGACAAAGCGCACAACAATCAACCCAAGCGAATTTGCATAAGAATTTACAACGGCATTCTTTGTAAAAGCACAAAATCAGAAATGGCATTCAACGGAGAGGCGAACAAGTGCCACATACATATCTGTACATATGTATGTATGTATGTATGTCCAATGTTTTTAAGCCGCGACTGACGTGCACAGTAAGCCATTTATGCCAGCAGCGCAATTATCGTTTTCTCAGTTTCAGTTTTTAAAAAATTCCAAATCCGTTTTTTACATCTCAAGTGCAATTAATTTGACTTAGAATTTGAATTTAACTAACTCTGTGGAATTAAGAAAAAATAAAATGTATTATCTGCACATTCAATGTCTCCTCGCATTATGGCAAGCGATCAATTGCAGATAATTATGGTCATCACAAATAAATCTACTAATATTGCATACTTATATTTCTGTCCGCATGTAAGTCTGTCGATATGTCGTAGATCATCTTAAAAATGTATGCATCTAGTGACAAACTGTCATACTCATACTCAGTGCAGAGATTTCAATCGCTTGTACCCTGTAGGAAATTTACGAAGAGTAGGGCAGCTAATGAGAGAACAAATAAATATTTCCAAGGCGAACTTGATTCCACATCCGATGATGATTCCATGTATGCTTTATTGCCCTTGCATGACGAAAGTCGAATAGTAATCGCCCGCTTGAAAACACCTACCGACGATCGAAACCTAAGTATGCTTCTCACAATCCACAAAAGAGGGCACCGCACAGGCTGCACCAGAGGCCGTGGCATAACCTTCGTCAATATCGCATATACATATGACAACCGCGCCGTGAGCTTTACTTTCTTCAGGCTGAATAAGAGCGAGGCGATCGAGTCTGGTAGCGAACGAGGGCAAGACAAAATATCTCCCGTCATCGAACAAACAGTCAACGCATTCGGGACTCGGCTTCCACGTCACTGTTAACAGTCATAACTTTGCAGTCGTAGATGGTTTCGCCTATCTTGGAACCAGCACTGACACCAACAACAATATCAGCCTTTACAACCAACGCAGAATCTCCCTTGCCAACAGGCGACACTTTGGATTGAGTAGGCATCCTCTCTCTAAGAACAAAGATCAAACTCTACACGTCGGTCATTATTCCCGTCCTGCTTTATGGTGCTGAGGCAAGGACGATGACAACATGAGATGGTTGGTCCGGTTACTACCCAATCAATCACCATACAGTCTTATAGCGAAGCAGTTGCGTCACATTAATGTTGGCGTTGAAATGCAGAAGTATTTTAAAAAAGCTCTCGGTTGGATCAACATCCCGAGCAACTGTGTGACGGATGATCTAGCGGTAGGTGTACCACTTTAACTACAATAAATTGCACCCGTTGCGGGCATATTTTTTCTACGGAAAACTCAGGCTAAAAATGGCTCTTACCAAAACAGCCAACACCAGATGGCTTAGCGAAAGAATCTGCAAAGGTTTTTTGTCGCGGCTGCAGATACGAAGAAGAAGAACCTGTCGAGCACAACCCACTCTTACACTCTCCAGACCTAAGCATAACACGGCGTAAGGATCTAGGACATCACTTCTTCGACTGCCTGGCTGACGTAGCAACAACTGGTATCGGTAATATCACGACTACGAGCATCGGTCGCTCTGATCAACAACCGCATCACTAAACCCAACTCCTTCATAAGAATTCAGTCAAAACCATGTAAAGGGTTAAAGAGCAGAGATTGGCAAAGTCAACACAGGGTGAGCTTTAGTTTTGCTCTGCAAAAAGTTATTAAAAAGAGAATGGTGAGGTCAACCCTAAACTTGAGAGACTTCCATTTTTATTTTAGAACTACAAAATGAGTGCTAAAATCACTTGGAAAACATGATGAATTCCAAAGGGTTAAAATATCGCCATTCACCTCAAGTGCGGCAGCAAAGGGGTGGAACCGAAGCAAACGTCTTCTGAGGGGTAGTACGCACATACGTACATACGTGTATGCACATATAAAGGCAGATGCTGCGCATATTCAAATTTTACAGTTTTGGAAAATGGCTGGAATGATTATGCAGGCATACACACACACAGCTAGCTGATCTGAACTAACCTATAAATACCGGCGAACGCTTCGGATTTCTCATTTCCGCTGGTAACGTTGGTGCATTTGGTGAGCAGGTGAATTCGGTGATTTGAAAACAGATAATTAATAGCAAAAATTTAAAATGGATTTTACTTTGAATATTGTTTAAATTAAACATTCAAATGAAAAATGTACTTAGGGAATGATTAACACTTGCAAATCGCACCGCTTTGTTCAAAACAATTTTAATAAATATTAATTTTTAATTATTTCATTGTGCGTTCATTTGTATTTAACATAAAAAACATCGTTCGGAGTAGTAATAGTTTTTTCAAATCCACTCACCGCTCAAAATATAAAAAATAAATGAAAATTATTCTTTTCCAAAACTCCAATATGAAATTCGTGCGTATAAGCTGTACATAAATACATACATACATATATAAAATGTGAATACCAACAATTGTTGTGATTGCTTATTCATACAAAAGAAAACATGAAAAATTGTTACAAAAACACTTTCTTCCTGTCAAGCACCCGCACATCTATGGAAAAAATATCACATTGTAATCGAATTTGCAATTTTTGAAATGTGAAAGTCGCTCGCCAACCCCTCACCCCACACTGACTCTGCACATCGCTGAGGGGACGGGGGTGGATGATGGCCTTTCGTAGTTATTCGTAATGCTCTCTAACTGTAAAAATTCACTAACAAAGCAAGAAATAAACATATTTATGAAGTTGTTAACAATTTTGCGAATTCCAATTTAGCCATCTGCGTGTGTGTGTGTGTGTGTGTGTGTGTGTGTGTGTGTGTATGTGGTGAACAATCCAGCTCATGTCAAAAGGTTTCCTATTTATCTCATGTTTTCATACAAAACGCTAAGCTTTACATGGGCAAGCGGCAAAAAATAGAAAAAATTCGCCAAAAACAACAAAATATTACAAAAAGCTGAAAAAATAAAAAATTGCGAAAAATAACAAAAAATAATAATAAAAAAAAAGCTAAAAAATACTACAATTTTTGGGGGAAAGTTCGTTTGTACCGCCTTTTGAGGGTTGCAAAGTGTATTGAACAATGCATACATACAAACAATGCATACAAATTTGTGTGTTTATGTTATTTAAGTGCTCGTGCTGTATTGAAATTACTTGAAATTACTTAAAATTGCGTGCGGTTAACCTCGCAAACGAAGTTATTCTGAGGCATTTTTCTCACATTTTGGAAAATTGTAATATTTGGCAAGAAAATAGTTAAAATTTTAGAGTTTTGCCTACAACCTTCCCCGTTGCTATGAAAAATGTGTGAATGTGAAGTATAGGGTTATCCATTTCGGGATTTCAAAAGTGGAGGGCTGTATTTTGACATCTGTCAAACTTAACTGTTAGACCAAACAGGTCTGGAACCAGCAAGGAATTTATGAAAATGGACCGCTAAAATCAATTATGTTATTCTCATTCATCCATTCCATCATAATTCCACGCCCTTATCTGCAAAAAACTAAATTAAGCGGGATTTTATAGCCTCGAAATTCTCGAGAGTTTTACCATTTAATGAGATCTGCAAAGAACGAAACAAATGGTAGTTTAACGGTGCACGGTCTATATGGTGGATGCATCAACAGTTCCCAGCCAAAGATGTGTGCGGTCTAGCATTGTCCTGGTGGAATATGACACCTTTACTATGGACAAATTCTAGCCGCTACTCGTTGATGGATGTATTCAATTTGTCTAGTTGTTCACAGTTTACATCCGAATTAATCGTCTGGTTCAAAATACGCCACACCCTTCCAGTCCCACCAAACTGGCAGCATAATCTTATGTTGGTGAATATCAGCAGTGGTTTGTGGCGCTTCATCATGCTTGGACCATGATAATTTTCGATTGACATTATTGTAAAGAATCCATTTTTCATCTCCAGTTATGATTTGCTTCAAAAAGGAATCATACTCATTGCGTTAAGATGTATATTACAAGCGTGGAAGCGGCTAGTTAAACAATTTTCTTTCAATTCTTGTGGTACACAAATATCAAGTTTTTGTACCAACCCAAGACGTCATATATGGTTATGATTTGAGTTAGTATAAACTCACCGTAGTCTCTCCAATATCACGCTCAGTTAAGAGACGGTATCGTCATCAATTTCACTTGTCCGACTCAACGTGGCTTATCTTTGAGTGAAAAAACTTCCGAACGGATTTTGACAAACCATCTTCGAGACTGTGTTTCTTTTCTGGCTTCTTTTGGGGCAACCCAATAAATTAGCAATACGTTCGCACTTGGGGCTGCGAGTATCTTCAAATAATTGAAAAATATATCCAAAAACATCTTACTGTCTAGTGTGCACTAAGATCGTGCGATTTGACACCGTTGGACTATTTTGTGAGCCTGCTCGAAAGACTCGCGAGGCGGTCGTTTGCTTGATGTAGTTTTTCACCTGTAATGCGAAGGTTCAAACTTTATAATAAAAAAAGAAATGTCGTGAAAAACATTATTTGAAATGCCAGTTATTTTTATTTATCTTGAAAGCCGCAAAATGGATAACCCTATATTTTCATGAATTAATTTTATTTGCTTTCTTTTACACGCAAACAGATATTTTTCGTTATTTACTTTCTGCTCCTTCTCCGCTTCCTTTTGATTTTTGGATACATCAAATATTTGCGTTGACATGAATGACATTTTTGCTTACGCTTGATTTTCTACAGCTCATCTTTCTCAGTTTTTTATATTTTTTATTTATTTAATTTTTTTATTTTTTTTTTTTTTTCTTTTCGCCCTTTTTTGGAAATGTTTACGCATTTTTTATCATAAATAAAAAAATATGCTATAATAACAAAATTGTAAATACGACATTCGCTAATGCATATTATTCTATGAATTTGTAGATAGTACACACACACACATACACACACACACACGCACGCATTTTTGTGTATTTATTTAAAGTTGTAAGTACGTCTGTGCTCGCTCGTTGTCGTATAAATCTATTTTCGATCGCTTTCACTGCATTTGTATTGGTGTTTGAATGTGAGCAATTTCAGTTTATGCGATTGCAAGGTCCACCGTCGGCTACAAAATGGAAAACATGGGTAAATTTATATAATTTAGATAATTGCTTATAAATATCTTATTAAGATATAAGGTTGCTTGTGACAAGCATTAACATTTGTACTAAATACATTAATTAAATATTTTGTTGTTATGTACTTACTTACATACACACATACACACATACGAGCATGTATGTGAAAATGCCACAACAAACATTTCAAATTCATAGGAATAATAATTTATGGGTTAGTTTAAAATAAATTTTCTTTAAGTCATTGGTTTCTGAATCAAAAAAAAATCGAATATTATCAGTGATATTTTACAGTCCGTACTTCTGTGAAATTACCGTGTCCTAACAAAAATTAATGCCCCGGATTCTAATTTTCAGATCCCCAGTGTTCACAGTTTCAATACAAGCTGAGAAGATAACAGTGTGATTGATGTCCTCGTAAGGCTAAAGGCTGACGTCACCGTCGTTCAAGAAGTGCGATGGACAGGACAGGGACAGAGAAGAGTAGATCAGCTGTCGGCAAATTCAGTCTCCATGACGAAACGTACCCAAATGGGTTAAGGCTGATCGACTTCAACGGAGCCCGAAATATAATTGTCTGTAGTGCTAGATCTCAGCACCAGAAAATTCATCTAGCTACGTACGTTCCGATGACAAAACATCAACTCGACTTGAATTACTGATATGGGACGACCAACAAAAATAGGAAAAGGCCGAAATGTGTAAGTATAAATGCTGAGGCGACTCACAGAAGGTTTTAATATCGGAGCAAACTCTTGTAGAAATCAGAGAGGTGATTAAGGGACTGATACTCCAGCCTGCTAAATGGCAGGGAAAATGGAACCCCAAGAGAAGACGAACCCGTTTACCTAATGACGCAGCTCGAACACCAGTCATTTACTCGAAAAACAACAACAGAGCGGCGGAGCCGATGATCGGCACACATCACCTCTTCGCCGATGCTGAAAGAACCAACGGCAGCATTGTCTCTAAGCCACTATGTCCGAATTTGTTATCCCCCGCAAAACTTATAGGCTGCTCTCTGCCTAATAAGCAACCAAGCGATACGAAGTTAAAATTCTTTCTCCCTGAGTAAATACCGATGTATTTACACAGGAATAACATATGTATGTGCATACGAGTATGTCTGTCTGCTTTCGAAGAGACAGCTTATTGTTATGCCAAACAATGCTGCAGGAAAAGCTGATTTCTCATTCCTTCACTCTCACATACATTGCGTATGGGGACTAATAGATACATAAAACTTGTCCTTTCAAAAAAAGGATATTTTATAACAACGTTTGTTTCACGCACACACAAACCTAACCAAATCAATTGAATTGGGAAGATGTGTATGGATATGTATGTCGGCAGTTGGAAATTCATCATCTGCAGGAAAAATGTATTCACTAAAATTTGAAGCTCCGAATACAAGGTAAGTTCATCCTGTGGGGTGGGCGGAGGTGTTTCGCACCCCAACAGTGAAAACGTGAGAGGTGTGCAAATAAGCTGCTGTTCGGAAGGACTTCCGAGCTGCAAGGATGTTAATTGAAATACTTTGTTTTCTCTCTTTTTCATCTAGCGCCATGCCTATTAATAAATAACTGCGTTTGTATGCACACAAATGACTAAAACTTTGGCTCGAAGCCCGTGGTGGGATAAGCTTGTGGGACTGCAGTACTGTAACAGCGTTACTCAATAAGGATGAGAGAAAGAGAGAAACTCTATGCAGCATGAAGTTGTATAACGCCGAGGGCTCTCAAAAACGACTTTGCTATTTGGTGCATGCTTCAGGGAACTTAAAGTTATTTTAATTTATGCATTGTCGCTTAATATATATATTTTAGCATACTTTTAGGCACAGTTTTGTGCCAATCTTCAGAATTTTTTCTTTTAATTGTTTTTTTAATTCAAAACTGGTTCGTATATATTTCAGAGGTGTTGTATTTAAACAAATACGTGTTTCTTTATGAAATTTCGCAAAAAATGTACACATCAAGATATATATATTTATACAAAAATAATTTCATATATATATTCCACGCCATAAATATTTGCCAAGAGACTAGACTTCCACAATTGCAATAGAAAAATGATCAAACACTGCATCATAATTATTCCACGTTACTTCTCAGATTACAATGACATAACATACGGAGGAGCCTCCAACTCATCCATACGCACAACTGTACACACGCAAGCACATCTACTTATATAACAGTAATTTTTTAACGCATAGCCAATTCCATATTTCCTCTCAATCCATTCATAAATCACCATTAAAATGGCAATTTTTGTCACTCGCTGAATCAGAACGAGCTATAAATGAGAAGACGTCGCAAATAATAGGAAATAAAACAAACTAAATAAAGCGAAATAAAGCTAAATAAATTCGATTGCGTCCGCAAAGCCCATTAAATCAAATTAGCTTAAAAAATAAATGGTGTTTGAGATTTATTGGCGAGTTAACTTCGAGAAGTTGAAGCGTTAGGCGTTAGACCCCATTACAACCGCTCGTAATTCACCACGATAATCCTTTCAAAACGACATCTGGGTTGGAATACAATATTTTCTGACTCAAATAACCATTAAACTGCAATTAGAAGTAAACCATTTAATGCTCTTTATATTTGTTTTTGTATGAAAATCATAAAATACTGAGCTAAATTTTTGATAAAATTATTAAAAAAAAACACTGTTATAGGCTAAGGTAGATTTGTCCATTTAAATTTTTGATTTTTTTGGAGTACCTACAAATGTAGAATAAAATATTGAAAATATTTCAGTTTTGAAATTTGAAAATAATCCATGAAAAAAAAAGAATTCGCACCAAGCAACCAACAACAAGGGTAAGTTCGGCCCGAAGCGTTACAGCGAGAATGAATCAAAAAAAATTCCCTAAACAGCAATTTCGGCAAATTTTTCTACAAAAATCTCCAAAAGACCATTCACATGAATACCTACATACGCTCATGCATACACACATTTATATCTGACACTCGCAAATGTGTATGAGCAGCCACTCGGCCGCTCACACACTCACCTACACAAGACTCTCCACTCCAGTACGAGTACATGCTAAATGGCATTTTTATGCATTTTCAATACCAGACACTCTGCACAGCATTAAAAACTCCTTACTAACCATTTATACTTGTAACGGTAAAAAAGTAATTCATACTCTCGAACTTGGTAGACTCGGAACAACTGAAGCGTTCAAAAGCGTGTTGTAATTTTGGCACATGAAAAAAAGCACACCCATATACATACATACACTCGTGCCACATAGCCATTGGAACATTGTAGATATTTGTATCCCCACGGGACATTCGAAAATAGGAAGAGTACAAAAGAAACGAGTGTGAGGAAAACTTTTCTGACACTTTGGGGTTTGTTCGGCGATATGTAACTGTCTTCTGTGCAGCAGAGAAATCCTTTGCCACCGCCAATTCACCACTCTAACAATGTTTGTATGTATGCTGAAATCTTTTACGAAGAAATTTTTCTGAATTTCATCGTTTTGAATATGAAATGGCTTGGAAAAGAGAAATTGTCTCCAAAACCAAAGCGAAACGGAAAAACGCAAAAACGCCTTTTCAATACAATACATTCGATGTATGTAAATGTATTTGTGTCATTATGTAAGTATGTATGAGCATTTTGCATGCGTCTTTTATACCGTTGTGATGATTGTGAAGACGATTATTGCTGTATAAGGTTTGATACATACATATATGTAATAGATGTATATACATCGCTTTCCTCAAACCGTTCTTCGACAGTTACTTTACTTTAGGAGTTTTGGTACATACAAATAAGCAAGTGTATCTCGTGAGGGGAAACAAGAGTAGTCCAAGTAGCGCTTAAACCGCATCGCATCGCATTTCGATCTTTTGGATCGATTTATTCCCCAAATATTTATATACGATAAATCGCTGTGAATCGATTATTGATGACCTGCTCATGGAACACACGGTCTGCACCAATTAGCATGTTTTAAGCTTCCTCAGTATCGGAAATAAGGTCCCATCGAGTGTATAATGTGAAACACAAAAGCCCAAAGTCAGCAAACTGAGGGGGACCTTTGAATGTGGCTTTATACCTGGTAAAATCACCATTAATTAGATAGTCGCCATACGTCAACTCTTGGAAAAGTCTCCGTCTATTTAAAATTGCCTTCGACAGCACAGGTGCAGCAATAACACCAACAACTATGTCAGCTTTTAAGTCCAAAGCGGAATCAACGGAGCCAACGTCCAGTTTGGACTGAGTAGGCAATTGAAAGCAAAGTTTTCTGTCAACGGCCCAAAACCCAACTCTGCAGGTTCTGCTAAATGGTGCAGAAGCGTAAATGATGTAGACATCCGATGAGTCGCCCCTAAGAGTAGTCGAGAAAAAGTTTGTGAACGATTTATGATCTTTCGCGCTTTGGCAACAGCGAATACCGTAGACGATGGAACAATGAGCTGAGATCAGAGACCGCGGCTATGCTGGCTAGGTCATGTCGTCCGAATGGATGAAAGCACTTCAGCGTTGAAGGTATGCGATGCAGTAGCCGTTGGTGGAAGCAGAGAAAATAAATAAGGAAGACCTCCACTCCGTTCAAGGGATCAGGTGGAAAGCGTTCTCAATTCTCTTGGTATTTCCAACTGGAAAACTTTAATTCAAATTGAAAAATAATAAAATGATCGTTAATTTTAAAAATTTTCACTTACAGTGTTTTACATTTAGGCAAGGGTATGTATTACCGAATGTATGTATTTCTGTATATATATATTTCTTACACATACGTGTATGTGCATGTATGTGTGAGTATGTGTGTGTGCAGTTAGCAATTTGCTAAAATAAAAATCAACTTCAAATGTTTTATTTCCAATTCAATTGCGATAAAAAGCAAAGTAACGGTGGAGGGGGGAGTGAAAAGGTGAACGGAAAGAATCAAAAGAATTCGAAATGAGAATGAAAGTTATATACTTCTTTCAATGGTCCAAGAATTGGAGAAAGTCGTCTGGTCATTACTTTTTACTTTATTGCCAGCACCCACACACTTACACTTCCACTCACACTCACATGTACATGTACACGCATGCCACTCACGGACTCAAGCCAAAGAGTCTCTTTATAACAACCTATGTACATTTGTGTGTATAATTTGTCCAAAAGAAAGCGCGCACGTGCATATATACATATAAATGTGCACATACATATGAACGTCTATATGTGTTAGTTATTTATAAAAATATGTTCAAAGCGAAAAAGACGCAAAAAAAGTGTAATTTTAAATTTAACCTTAAAAAATACACAAAATGGCTGAGCTCTTGTGGGCTGTTGTTGCTGCTTCAGTGGACAGCAGAGGCGACAAGCATTGGCAATGAACTGACTGGTACGTATGTAGGTGTATGCGCTTTAGCCGAAATAAATGTGTTGTAAAGTTTTAAGGGTGTTCAGAAGTAAATCGCCTACTGCGGGCGTTGGTAATTGGGCAGGGTTGAAGGAGATTAGGTATGCGTACATACATACGTAAATGTATATGTGTGTCATTAGCAAACGCATGTGGCTGTGTGTGCCCTGTTATCTTGGATGAAACACACCTTTGCCTGTTGGCTATGTCCGATTTTCGCTCGAAATTCCAATTGCATGCGACAAGTATGTGTTTGTATGTATGTGTGTATGTATGTGGAATATACTTATGTGTGTATGTTCAAAAGCTACCGCTGGTATTTGCTCTCTTCTTTCACTGATTGCAAAATGAGACGACAACTGAAAAACGTTGATTAGAAAAAGTCAAAATACCAGAACTAATTTGAGTTTTGATTGACTTTGATTGTTTGATTTTAAATGGACGCGTATTTTTATTAAATTCTCCCCTTCTCACGTCGCAACACGCATCCACACGCATCCACACGCATCCACACGCATCCGCACGCGTGCGGTCTGAATAGCGAAAGCTTAGCACTCTCCATCAAATATTTAAAGACATTTATTTGGGCGTTAATTCAAATGAAATTTCCGAATAAATTCAATTATCCAAATTGTTGGAATCTCTCTTGTCATACCACACAAATTAGGTGCGTCGGAACGTATGAGTTACATATCAACTATGAACTTTAAGAATGCACCTAATATTCTCTTCCAAGGCGTCTCCCGCTTATCTGCGTAGGCAGGCGGCTTGACAAAGCCTTCCTTCTGAAAATCTTTGTCGTTGGCATCTCCTTTGGGCCCATTAATCGGACGTGTGAGGCATTCGGCTTCAGTTCTTGCACGCGTTGGATTTTGTAAGCCCGCAATCCAAGATCGCTCAGCAAAATCTTCCATAAAGGGCATTCGCACAGGTCCAATTGTTGCGCGCGATCTTCTCCACAGGAGCAAAAGCATCTTCAGTGCGCACGGTACGGTCCCACTGAGGATGCGGTTTATCACTAGAACGTGGTGCGAAACCGAAACTTACCGAACCATTATTTTAGTTCGGGAGTACGTCAGTTTGGGAAAAAATCTATTCATTATGAAATGATGAGTCAAAGTGAGTATAAATCAGGACCAATTCCGAAACATACAACGTGATTTTCGGAAGGAGTCATCTTAATGTTTTTTTAATATGACCCACCACCCTCCTCTGAAAGGCTGATGGATTTTTATGAGCACCTTTATTTCAGCTCGAAGACTGGACATTCTCTGCCGAGTGTCGACCGCAATTAGAATGATTCGATGATGGTCGGACCTGAAATCGAACCCTAGCCTACCGAATAGCACTCGGCTACCGCGACCGCCGGTTTTCATAAGGTGTAAAATACCTCATTTACTTGGAAGAATCACATCACATGTTGTCTTGCAAGCTCACTGCACTTCCTTTCTATGTCCGTATG